CGGCGGGTGTGGTGCGTTAGGAACGAAATGGTCGCGTCGCGGTGAGAGGGGCGTCGCGCGCGAAGGAATGTAGCAGGATGCAGCAGTGGGTAAGAAATACAAGAACAAAAGTACTAATAGTAGAATTATGCATAAAATAATGATCGCATATCGATTGAGCTGTATGAAGAACGCTAGAGCTGTAGAACGGCGAATGAGTGGTCCGCGACAGCCGCGTGCGGCAAATCGATTACCCAAAATCGTTCCTAACGCCCGTCTCCCAACGTTCCCTTGTGTACAGGAATGAAATTCGGTATCAACCAATTTACTACCGTAAACAGTCAACATACTTTGCGGTAAGTAATGACAAACAGACCGGGAATTCTTGGTAAACGATTGCTTCACAGATCGTCGGAGAGCTAAGGCAATGAATAATCAATCTTGATAACATATGAATTGTGTGAATGGGCTGATGTTTTCAATTTCGCTGCTGTCTCACATGATGGAAACATGAAATAAGCAAAGTTTTCAATTTAGAGCATTCTAAGAAAAGTCTAAAGATGGTTCGTTCTGTCGCTGCTGGTTACAGCCCCAAAATCGCGATACAGCTATTATTAAGAGGTACCACTCATGAGCAGACTGCCAGTCTTTTAAGGATTCATATCCAACGTTCTCCTTTCTCGTCATTAAACAATCCCATTCACACTGACCACCACCATCCCCACTGAGGGAAAGTGTTTTCAGAAAAGTAGCTCCAAAATTGATTGGGATCACGAAAAGTTGACCCATAGTTCGTTCTGGAAGCTACCCATTTGGGTATTCACTATCCTGTAGAGTGCGCCATGTAATCTGCCTTCATGCAAAATAACGAGATTGGCTTCAAATTAATCAGACTACCACAAAAAACTGGCAAAAAATCGCAGTCCTATCCTGGACATTTGGTCACCAGACAAAGGGGTTACCATGACGATGTCGTGCATTCCCAAATGGGTAGTCCTCAAAATAAATAATGTCGCTAGGAAATCGGCTCACCCATTATGAGTTATACCACCATTAGGTTTTGATGGGAAAGATAATTCAGCTGCCAATGAAGGGTGTCTTCATAATGCTTCATGCATATGCCTTCTAAAACGACCACCCGCTCCCCTGAATGTGTTTATTAAATTTGGAACGGGAAAGCGGGGGAAGGGTGCGATCCAATCGAGCGGCGTTTTTAACCTCCCAAGCAAACTCAAGATAAAGAACTGCTGACTTTGGAGGGATCGAAGACCGGACTGCGCGTGTCAAGCTGGTGTTCGATCCCAGGACCATACGTGTGGTAGCTAGATCGACTGCCGTATAGGTGATAAGAACGTTCTTCTCTTTTAAGCCACAAAGAAGTGAAACTGTTCTAATACAAAAAGAATATTGAATGAGTGTTATAGAAATTATTGTCATGACAAGGTATGATCAAATATTCAGGCGTGTTTGGATGCATGGCGCATTCTGGGCGAAAGACATTACTTGCAAAGTTCGAAGCAAAGAAAAGGAGTGAGACGACAGTGAATGAAAAACGGCTGACTAATCAATGAGCCGATGCTATCTATCATCATAGGCGATGGCGGGCATGAATCACTATGACATCTCTTTGCTAGAAAACCCGTAAATCAATAGCGAAAATATAGGAGAATCAATAAATCAATAACGACAATGCCAAACCGAGCAGAAAGCCAGCCACTTAACAGAGACAATGGTCTGCGTTATGTTTATCGTCCTATACGGCCTAAGAGAATCGCAACGATTCGATCGATACGGTAAACAAAGCAGTCATGCGAACTACTTCTTTGACCCCTATGCTCTTGTAGACAAGTAATACATATTTTGGACATGGGCACTTGTAGTTGACAGAACTGAGTATTCAGCTGTTTGGGATGCGCCATGTATGCTGCCTTCGGGCAAAATTATAGAGGTCTCGGAAGAACCTTCAGCTTCTACAATAATATTGGAACAGGCTATCTCCGAGGTTTTCCCAAAGCATATCAAGTAGACCAAAGGCGTAGATATATCAGAAGAAACATAATTATTGCACGCTGAGAAGGATTGATCCGCTAACGCAGGAAGGGAGAAATCTCGATAGAATCAGTACCAAGGACCGTTGGAAGGACAGCGTCTCCACTGAACAAAGCAGTTCCGCTTCAGGAGCGAAGAGAGTGTATCGAGAACGGAAGGATAGACTTTTTGCAGAATAACTGTATGAATTTTCTAGCTCTGATCCACTCCGTTCTGGGATACGCCACACATTTGACATCACTCAAATTTGTAATAGTATTCAAATGGTAATGTGATCTACGAAATCCCTTGCAGGGACCAACACAGGCAAGTCCGGACCGGAGTCAATTCACTGACGTAGAATGAATGGAAGGTTTGGTTTGTTTGGTCAGATGGAAGGAGTTATATATTGCAATTTCGTCTTCATTTCTTGAAGTAAAAGGGAGAGGGTTAAGGGTGTGGGGTTTGGGTAGTGCATCCACAAGACAGTATCAATACGGTTCAATGTGGGCGCAGGGGCATATCACTGATATAGAAGAAACACAGCTTCTTCATATCTAAGAGTTTTGTCTGTTTAGGTAAACAGATTTGGAATTACCGATCCTGCCTTCCCTAATGGCATTATCCGTAGCAACTGCCTATCCTAGTGCCTATCCTACTAGTGAAAACAACACGGGATGGACCAAGAAAAATCAGAGATTACGAAGGAACAGAAAATCGTCGGCCAGTGCGAAGTACAGACCTGTTTCAATTTGGGTTCAAGAGGAAAAATATTTATTCTGATAAGCACGTGGCTTGAAAGATAGCGAACAAGTGACCCCTTCAGCGTTTTCCGCTCTCTCCAACCATAGTTTTTGAAAAGTAGGAGCTGAAAAGATGTTTCTCAAAAATGAATGAAAAAATTAAAATTCAGATTGAATCAGCCAGCGAAACTAAAAGAAAAAGGTTATTTGTGGAGACATCGCAAAGGTCGACCGCCCCTGTCCCGTCGCCGTCGATGAGTCAGCTGACATTTTGAAATTCAAATTTTTTCGGCAGGCCCCCGACTAACACACCACAGGAGATGCTATGAAAACGATTCGCCCACGAGGCAACTTAGAAGATGGCCCAAGGAAACTGTAGTCGTAATACGACACAAGTAATACGGCCAGAGAACTGAGATTTTGGGAAAAGCAGTACTTTTTAGAAAAAGATAAAAAAGATCCAATTTTTACCAATTTTTTTACTTTTTGGAAAGAACTGGAAAGAATAACATATGGTCAGCTTTCTTTCTTTTTAAATCAACTAATCAATATATTTTATAAAAGTAATATGTAGATGTAAAATGAACTTTGGCATCGTACAGGTGTAATCTATGAG